TATACATATTATAAATATAAAATTGAAGCTGGAGAGACAGCTTGGTGGTTAGGAGTACCAATTGCTCTTCCAGAGGACTTGGGTTCAATTCCCAGCCTAAATATAGAATATATGGCACATACATGGTGCCATATGTGTGTGTGTGTGTGTGTGTGTGTGTGTGTGTGTGTGTGTGTGTACGTGCAGGACTCTACAGAGGTCAAAGGAGGCAGATCTTTTGGAACTGATCTTACATCCAGGAGATCTTAGATCTGCTGGAACTGTACTTAAAGAGAGTTGTGAGCTACCACGTGGGTGCTCTGCAAGAGCAGTAAGTACTCTTAACCATTGAGCCGTCTCTCCAGTCTCTGCAGTAAAATATTTCCTACCACAGCAAACTGATGCTTGGCCACCTCTGTTATGATCTGTAAAGATGAGGTCTACCCCCTGCGGAATTACAGCATACAACAGATCTGGTATAAAAGAGGTTTATTGTGAGATGGGGGGAAGGGTCTTGGAGAAGGGACAGAGACAGTGAGTGGGCCATGAGGGTAGAGAGAGGGGACAGGGAGGGAGAGAAAGGGGGCTCCCAGGACTGAGACACACACACAGACAGAGTCCTGGCACACCTAGGCATGGCAGCAGGTGATGATGTAAGATGTTGCTAGGTCCCTGATGGCAGCCAGCAGAATGTCCTGTATGCATTCTCTATATATGAAACAAATGTCAAAACATTATATTTGGATTTTTGTATGTATTCACTTTCCAAATATATTTAAAACCATGCATTTTGATTAACAAAGCCGTTTTGTTTTGTTTTGAGAGATACAGCCCAGGTTGGCATTGAGCTCACTATTCTCCTTGCGTTAGCCTCCCTGGTGCTGAGATTATAGGCATGTGTCACTGCTCCTGTTAAAAAACACATAACTACTTAGGAAGCAGTGAAATATGTTTTCATTTTTATAAACAGCTAACCCATGTGCTGTTTGTTAGAACTCATAACTTGAATGATTGGCGTCAGTCTGCTACTGACTGCATTGAAATGAAAAGGTGTGCTTAGAAAACCCAAAGATAAATGACGGTGTGTTGGGAATGTTTTTATCATTTCCCCCTGAGCACTGTGGCACATTTCCGTGTTTGTGTCGGGTATTTTAGTGTGGAGATAAACTTCCATTCCGCTGTTTGGCATTTGGCTGTTTATGTTGCCCAAGTAGGAGCAGAAGCAAATCTCAACGGTTTTCTCCCCTGGCATCCAAGTGGCAGAGTTCTAGGAGAGGACTGATGCCTCTGGTAGCTTCCGAGCATTCTATGGATTTGAATAGGCTTGTGTTTGCTGGGAATTTCTGCCAGTGGGCTTCTTTCTTTGAGGATTTGTCATCTCAGGTACACAGCGGCACGGCACAGGCAGGTCTCGGTTTAGTGTTCTGGCTGACATGTGCCCTGTGCGTATCTTCCCAGCTCATTTAGTTTATAGCTTAGGGCAGCATGGCAGGAACACTGTCTGTGCCCAGTGTGCTCTGCTGCTTTGCATTAGTCCAGGCTGAGTTTCTGAAGCGCAGAAAGAATTCGAAGGAACCTGGGACAGTGGCCTGCTTTTCCTAAGTCCTGATTAATGCTGACCTTGGTCTGTTACTCGCAGTATTAAAATTTTTAAGCACTTCATCCCTTAAACTCATGTTCAAATAGAAATACCAGAACATATCCTAATACCAAATATAAGTAAGTTTTAGGTGATCACCACTCTTCTCACTAATGCAAGTAAGTTTTGCACATTTGTCAAAGGAACTAAAAACTCAAATGGTGTTTCAGAAATAACATGTGTGTGTGTGCATGTGTTTTAAATTTCCCAGGGAGAGCTGAAGGTGTACAGCTCAGAGATAGAACACTTACCTAGCATTCTTAAGGCTCTAGATCCATCCTCTGCATTGCAAAAAAAAAAAAAGGGGGGGGGGACATTGCCTAGGAACAAGATCATTATATATTTTACAATGTCAAGGAGAATTCACTATTAACATGAAGAATGTGGAGACCCTGAGTATGGTGGTGTATGCTTGTGGTTATAGCACTCTTGGGAGGTGGACACAGGGTCAGGAGTTGAAGGTCTTCCCCAGCTACTTAGTGAGTTCCAGACAGCCTGGGCTACATGAGACCCCGTCTCAAACACAAAACAATAGGGAGCGGTTAGGAACAGATACTGCGCTTAGGACCCAAGTTCAGGTCCCAGCACCCATGCCGGTCAGTTCACAGCTGCCTGGAACTCCAGCTCCAGGAAATCCAGCACATTCTTTTCTCTTTTGGCCTCTACAGCCACTGCACACACATGTACCACACACACTTTAAAACAAAATCTAAAAAATAAAACCCAGTAAATGAGTGAGAGAGAGAGAAAGAAGAAAGGCAGAAGGAGGGATAGCTGTGTCTTCTTCGGTGAGCTGATTTTTTTGAGATTCTTCACTGTGTGAGAGACTGTAGATATGTATGTGACAGAGAACCAGATTTTCTAATTCCTTGGTATTTTAGCAGTTGGTATCCTAACAAATTTTTTTAGGTGATTTTCATTGTTTTACTTTATTTAAACTTCAACCTGACAATAACATGCAGCCTTTCTTAGGAACTAATTGTGTGTTTGATTGACAATTTTATAGAACAAGGAGAACAAATCTTTCAGGTCTGGGAGTATAACTAGCTGGTGAGTGCTTCCTGCCATGCGAAAGGCTCTGGGTTTGATCCCCAGCAAAGAGAAAGAAGGGATTAAAAAACCAAAACAGGCAGTGGAGAGATGGCTAGTGGTTAAGAACACTGTCTTCAAGAGGACCTGGGTTCAATTCACAGCATCCACATGATGGCTCATATCTGTCTATAACTCTATTTCCAGGGGATCTGATTCCCTCTTCTGTCTTTCATGGCCACCGAGTGTGTAAGTGGTGTATAGACATACATTCAGGCAAAACACTTTCCCCTTAAAAAAAAAAAAAAAAAAAAAAAAAAGGTAAGGGGAGATTTCCTCTTTTTTTTTTTTTCTGAGATCTCTATAACAAAAGAAAATAAATTTGTTAACATATATACATGAAGATAGTTGGGGAGAAATGTTTGAGAATACAAGCTTATATAACATCTTCCATCAGCAACAAAGGATGGTGTGTGTATGTTTGTAAAGGTGGCCAGGAAAAATAAACAAAAGGAAGGTTTGTGTAGATTTACAGAAGTGCCTTTTCCATACATTGGAGCTCTATGTTTGTGTGTAAGAGAGAGGAGGGGGGAGGAAGGGGAGAGGGAGGGAGAAGGAGAGGGAGGGAGAAGGAGAGGGAGAAAGAGATTTAGTCCTTTTTTTCCCCTCATACAGAGGGTAACATTCTTACAAATAGTATTTTCTGCATAGATACCAAAGGGTATCTAGTGGAACTCTCACAAGCAGCCTCATGGCAGAAAGCAGAGTGAGGGGCTTCAGCAGAAGAGTGTGAAAGGCTGAACAGTCTAGGAAAGCATATCAAGCTTTGGCAAGTATTCAAAAGAAAGAAAAAGTGAAAAGGAGAAGTGCTCTTTGGAGTAAGTTGGACTAACGGGACCTAAGCAGAGCCCCATGGCAAAGTTCCGTAAGAAACCCTACTGAAATTGGGGATTTGGGGAAGGGAATGTACATTATTCCTTAAAGGGGTAATTATTCCCCCCATATTTTTAGCACAGCTGAAAGTATATAAGCCTTCTTGAGGGATGGCCTCCACCAGGTGATTGACAGGTCCAGCTGGATTAGCTTTTACATTTTGGGTAGTTTGGAATGTTAGTTCTTAACCCAAGGCCAGACCTAGATTTCATTCTTTTTACCAGGAGGAAATAGCTTTCCTTTAATGGGTTTCCACAGAACCGTGATCAAGACTACTATGACATTCCCACCTCTGAAGATATAATCTAAAAATCATTTAGGAATGGGCTGAAATTTGGGAGTAAGCATAACCTTCATTTCCACCATGAAAGTCTAGAGAGCCAGTTATGTGTTTACCAGAAAGAATGAATGCCTGGACTGGAGTTTTATTTCCACCTTCTTGTATAGCCTGTGTTGGCTAGTTATTGTCAGCTAGACTTCTGTGGGAAGAGGAACTCCATTTGAGAAATGCCTCGATTCAGATTTCAGGTAGCAAGTCTATGGGGCGTTTTCTTCTCTCTCTCTTGGATATTTGAGACAGGGTTTCTTTGTGTAGCCCTGGCTCGCTCTGTAGGCCAGGATGCCCTCAAACTCAGAGATCCACCTGCCTCTGCCTCCCTAGTGCTGGGATTAAGAATCTTCTTGATTAGTGATTGATATGGGGTAAGGTAGGAGTGGTGCCATCCTGGGCAGGTGGTTCTGAGTTCTGTACTAACGACTGAGTGAAGCATGGGGAGCAAGCCAGTAAGCAGTGTTCCTCCTTGATCTCTGCTTCAGTTCTTGCCTCCGGGTTCCTGCCCTGACTTTCCTCAGTAATTAGAGTTGTGGCTTGAGAATTGTAAAATGAAATAAACCTGTCAGGCAGTGGTGGTTCGAGCCTTTAATCCCAGCACTTGGGAGGCAGAGGCAGGCAGATCTCTTTCAGTTGGAAGCCAACCTGATCTACAAGAGTGAGTTCCAGGACAGCCAGGGCTACACAGAGAAACCTTGTCCTGAAAAACAAAACAAAGAAACTGAAGTTGCCTTTGGTCATAGCATTTCATCAAAGCAATAGAAACCCTGACTAAGTCAAGCCTCCAGGAAAGGTGCTCATTTGGGAGACTAGAAACCAGAACCTTCCTCCTCACTACTCCCCCCTGCCCCACGTCTGGCATTCCTGGCTAGAAAACCGAGGACATTTCTGGAATAATTGTTTTTGCAGTCCCTGTCTCTGATTTCCTCTCCAGTTACTATCTCCTGCCATGCTACAGAGCTTCCGAATCTCTATACAGCACAGAACTGTGTTGAAAAACTTTAGGCACTATTTGTGGCAATAGGAAGGAAAAGTCGATAGCATCTCATCTATGTGTGTTTTCTCTTCCATGTCCTGCTGTCTTATCAGGCCAAAGTAGAAGAGAAGATCCAGGAAGTGTTCAGTTCTTACAAGTTTAACCACCTTGTACCAAGGTAAGCTTGGGGCCCTTGAGGGAACCTTTTAACTTTCCTCTGTGCCTGTACTTAACCCCCAACCAGCTGAACTAAATCTCTAATTATATTGTGAACCACCCAATGTGGGTTCTGGAAACCAAATTCATGTCCTCTGGAAGACCAGCACGCACTCTTAACTGTGGAGCCATTTCTCAACTCCCTAGAATAGCTCTTTTTGACACTATCCAAATGAAATTTGGGGAGAGACCAGTTGATCCACTCTGATGTAAGATGCTATATGGTCTGAAGTCCAGCCTCACCTTGCTTACTATGTCTATTGACCACCCCCCGTCCTCTTTCTCCTCCTTCTCTTCTTTTTGTTTTTAGTAACTTATTTTTTTTATTTATTACAGTATATTCACTTTGTATCCCAGCTATAGCCCCCTCCCTCATCCCCTCCCAATCCTATCCTTCCTCCCTCTTCTCCACCCATGCCCCTCCCCTAGTCCACTGATAGGGGAGGTCCTCCTCCCCTTCCATCTGACCCTAGCCTATCAGGTCTCATCAGGACTAGCTGCATTGTCTTCCTCTGTGGCCTGGTAAGGTTGCTCCCCACTCAGGGGGAGGTGATCAAAGAGCCAGCCACTGAGTTCATGTCAGAGACAGCCCCTGTTCCCCCTACTAGGGAACCTACTTGGAGACTGAGCTGCCATGGGCTTTATCTGTGCAGGGTTCTAGGTTATCTCCATGCATGGTCCTTGGTTGGAATATCAAAAAAAGAGAACTTCAGACCTATCTTATGAATGTTGATGCAAAAATACTCAGTAAAATACTTGCAAATTGAATTCAAGAACACATAAAAGATACCATCCACCATGACCAAGTAGGCTTCATCCCAGGCATGCAGGGGAGGTTCAATATATGGAAATCCATCAGTGTGATCCACCATATAAACAAACTGAAGGAGAAAAACCACATGATAACCTCCTTAGATACTGAAAAATCATTTGATAAAATCCAACATTCATTTATGTTTAAAGCCCTAGAGAGATCAGGGATACAAGGCACTTACCTAAACATAGTAAAGGCAATATACAGCAAGCCTATAGCCAACATCAAACTAAATGGAGAGAAACTTAAATCAATCCCACTGAAATCAGGGACAAGGCAAGGCTTCCCACTCTCTCCATATCTCTGCAACATAGTACTTGAAGTCCTAGCTAGAACAATAAGACAACTAAAGGAGATCAAGGGGATACAAATCGGAAAGGAAGAGATCAAAGTATCACTATTTGCAGATGATATGATAGTATACATGAGTGACCCCATAAATTCAACCAGAGAACCCCTTCAGCTGATAAACACCTTCAGCAAAGTGGCTGAATACAAAATTAACTTTTTGTGTTTTGAGACAGTTTTTCTGTATAACCCTGTTCTAGATCCACCTGCCTCTGCCTCCCCAGTGCTGGGACTAAAGGTGTGTGCTACTGTGCCTGTTGGCTGACTTCTTAAGACAATTTTTAATTAAGACTCTGGGGACTTTTTCTTTTTAGACATTTGGTCAAAATATTTCTACAGCCAAGGAGGCCCAAGAGGTAGAAATTCATTCTCTCATTTGCCTTGCAATGCTGGGGTTTGAACTCAGGGCCTCACATGTATGTCATCCCCACCCCCACCCTAGAATTAACCCTTCCATGCTTAGTATGGGCAATTTTTTGAATTCTCCGTAGTCCTTGGTCCAAGTATATCAAAGTCATGTGAGACTAGTTCATCAGGAACCAGGGCTGACCGCTGTCGAGGCCTGTCTGTACTCTGTGGGTGAGAAGCGCCTGTTGCACAGACCTTATGACAACGGGCTGGGCACTTGTTACTGAAAATTTACATATGGCTCTAGCCTTGTTACCTTCGAGCCTTTGTTCCCTCTCTAATTAGCCACTGCAGAAAACAGCTGGAAAAAGCGGCATTTGCAAGGAAGGGCATGTGAGAAGGCGAAGGTCCTCATCCCTCCCTGGAAAGGCAAGGGGGAAAGTGTGGGTCAGCTACAAGAGTCTTTCCCTAGCCTGCCAGGCTGCGGAAACCTCTGCATTACCTAACCTCAGTCCCAGGAACTATTCCTTTTGTCATGAGCCACAGCAGGAGCTCATCGAATGACATTTATGTCAACAGCTCAGGGGAGCAGCCACCCCTCCTGCCGCCTCCATACAAACCTGCTCCAGCTTCACTCCTCAGTGGTTGGACCTGGTGCTGAAGGACATTTCTGTCCTGGTGCTGAAGGACATTTCTGGGCCTTGCTAGCCCTTGTTAGCCATCGTGTCAACAGATGACTCACCTGACTGAGCTCTGACTCACTGTCTCCTGCCTGGGCCCCTGTGGACACACAACACAGCCTCTTGTTCCCACGCAACAGACCTGTGACATCTGACATTCTCTCTTCATTCCCCATCCAAACAGAGCCTTTGGACTCTTGTTCTTGAGGAGAGACGAGGAAGGCTGAGGGGCTGCAGTCTGGACGGGTTTGAGGGAGTGGTTGTAGAGACCCCATCCCCAGTTCATAGATCTTAGGTCAGGTGTGTTGGAAAACAAATGTGCTTCGTGGGCTTGGAACTTTCTAGAGACAGAATATGTCAGGTTTCTGGGTTTGTTTCAGGAATCATAGCTTTCAATTCTTATCCTTTCTTTCTCTTTAAAATTTTTTTTTTCTTTTGTATTTCTTTGTTTCAATTTTTGTCATTTTTGCCTATGAAAATGAGTGTCCTAAAGGATAATTGGCATGTTAGTTGATGTTAGGGATAACAGGTACTTTTGCTGAAGAGCTGAGTATGTAAATCAGAGTATCAGTAGAAAGCTGAATACCACAGATGAGACTCTATGGTATAAGGATCAGTCTGGGTTATGGTTCAGTTCGGGAAAGTACTTGCCACAATGCACCAGGCGCTGGTTTCAATGCCCAGAACACCCCCACCACCCCCACCACCACCAAGGAATTTTAAATTATTATAAATTTAACGCTTTGGTAGCCACAGCTTAAGTCCTGGCTAGGAGGTACACTGAAATGGTAGAGTAGTTGTCTAGCAGGTATGAGTCCCAGAGTCATACCACAGAAAACAAACAAACCAAAACAAAAACAAAGCAACATACTGCAAACCAAAGAACCGAAGTCACCCGTCGGACTTCAACTGCTCGGTTCGGGAACAGACTTCATGGCTCACCGCCATGCATAGCCAGCTGTTGGCAGTCCACCCAGGTGACACGGCTTGTTTGTGTTCCTAAGGCCATGATGCTGATGAGATGTGACATGCTGCCAGGACCGCTGGCTGTGCACGGGTCCAGGGATGCCTGCAGCGATGCTGAGGCAGGCAGTTGCTATTCAGGCTGCCAGAGCCAGGAAGCACATGTGGCTGGCGGTCAAGGCCAAAGCTGAATGGTGCTGCATTCTACAGTTAATCCCCTTCTGTCAGGAGTGGTGTTATATGCCTGTAATCCCAGTGCTTTGGGTTGGGGAGTAACGGCAGGAGTTCAAAGTTTTCCTTAGACATGAGTTCAAGACCAAGACTAGCCTGGATTACAGAAGACCTTATCTCAGAAAAAGATAAGATTTCCCTCTGTGAAGTGTGCATCTGTTTTAGAGTGAGGTAGCCAGTATCAAGAGGCCCTTCTTGAGTCGTCGGGCTCATTGGCAAGTTCCTCTACCCACTGAGCCATCTTCCTAGCCTTATTGTTGTTGTTTTGGAGTATTTTGTTCTTTGCTTTGGTTTTGGCTTTGTGTTTTTGAAAGGGGTTCTCTTGTTTTCCAGAGAGATACATAACTTAGCATGACCTTGAACTTGATCTTCTCCACCATCTCCCAGATGCTTTGGTCTTAAGTGTACGTGCACCATGATGCCACATTGCATCCTGCTTTTTAAATTTTTTAATGAAAGTCAGTATTTTCTGTTAGAAACCCAGGACAATAAAAAATGAATAAAGTGTAATTAATAAAAAAAAAAAAGTTAAAAAAAAAAAAAAAGAAACCCAGGACAAATGGCTAACTGTGGTGCCTGTTTAAAACAGGACTTTGGACCGCCAGCTCCCGAATAATGACACAGAGACTTATATTTATGATCAGCTTAGGCACTATAGCTGGGCAGATTCTCAGTTCTTCTAACCTGACAATACTGGCACCTGACGATACTGGCCTGGCCCATGTCCCGCCACGTACAGGCTACCTCTCGATCTTAGTCCTAGCACTTGTTTCTTCCTCTGTGCCCAGTTGCTGACTTCTGCACCTCAGCTTTCTTCCCAGAGCTCCCTTCTCTCCTTGCCTCAGCTATTGGCCGGATCAGCTCTTTATTTAACCAATACAGGAGGTGCTGGAGAACAATGTTTACAAAATACTGAGGCAGGTGATGCTTCGTAAAAATTACAACACCAAAGTCCAGCCTGTACTCAACTCTCTGGGTACAGAAATCAGCATTTGAATAATACAAGGGAAATCTTCACACAGTACATGAAAAGATCACCCCAGCGCTGGTTAGCACACCAAAGCAGACTCAGGCTAGCGTCCTGGCACTTCTCACCCTTGCCCCTTCTAAACCTCTCCAGCCCATGAGGTTATCCACCTTCTCTCAGCTTTTCCTTCCTATCTATATAACTCAGCCAACTAGGCTATGTGCTGTCTTGGTTCTTTTTGCCCTTTTGGTCTTCTTTTGTCTCTCTTCTTCCTCTCTCCTACTCTCTTCTCAAGGCCTAGTCTGTTCTGCTCCCCATGTTCAGCCTGGACTCTTCCAGATGCCTCTGGCTCTTCCTAGGATCTCAACTAGACCTTATAGTCATTCATTTTTCTCTTCACTTTTTTTTTTTTTCTGGCCATTGAGGTCAGAAACAGGGCCTCGCATATACTACGCAGTCAAACCAGCCTCTCCACGGCGTTCTTGTTCTGCCCCTTATGAATGGGTAGTTTTCCAGTACAGCACTTTAACTCCTTGGTCATCATAGTCCTGAATGTTTGCTTTTTCAGTTCATTTCATACTTAATGTGAAACCTAAAATGTGTGACTTGTG